TTGCAAAAAGACACCAAAAAGAAAAAACCCATTTTTAGATTATACAAAAACATGCTTTGTAAACAAAACGTGATTTCAACAATTTATTAATTCGCTTTCTCTTCTCGCTTTCTTCTCGCTACTTTATTTTGTTTTTCAAGTTCTGAATATGAACTTAAATATCAACGCATCAATTTGTATCAATTTTGGATAAAAACATTGATTTTCTATTTAAAATAGAACATCACAAATGTTTTGTGTTATCGGATAGATTAATCACTAAATAAAAATTGTCCACAGAAAGCTTTTCTTTGTAGAAATATTAGAGTCCACTTACAGACTCTAAGTTAGAGTCTAGCTTGCAAAATATAGAGGCATCTAGTTAAAAAACTATTAATATATTATAAAAAACCAATATATTATTAAAAAGAGACTCTTGTTTTAAAATTAGACTTTAATTAAATTACTATAAAATCGAAATGATAACTTAATTCTCGTCTTTTGTGTTTTGCTTTATTTCAAAATGTTCATTTTCTTTTTGAGTTGTGTATTATCGACTTTAAGTTGTTTGTTGTTCAGATTCTCGCCAGCCTTTCTGAATCGATCGTCCAATTCTGCAATTCTCATTAACCTTCTTTAACTGGTTAGTGTGTCTTTTCACATATACTGGTTGTGGGCACTTTGTTTGCATTTAAAAATGATGTTATTTAAATTGTCAAACATATAAATCTGTTTCTAAGAGTTTACTTAATTTCAAATTCATTTGTCTTTTACCACGAAAATAAATAAAGGATTTAAAGGAAATTTGGTGTTTGAAATACCTGTCAAATACTTTATTTACCTAAAATCGACTTGATGAAAAACAAAATTTTATAAAACTTTTGTACTTTTATAATTGTGCATTGTTTTGGACAAGATGTAATTTGTTAAGAAATAATTCTGAAACACAGAAACTGTTGTTCTAAACATATTATGTCAACGTGTCTTTTATGATTAGTTTTTTTAAATAATAACAAGGAATTAAAAAAACACAAATGATTGTTTGAAAAACAACCTGATTTAAAACTATTAAAATATGAAAATATAATGCTATTTAATACTTCATTTCTTGTTTAGATTGCATATATCAATTTGAAATACAATTGATTATTTTACATAATAATGGGTTGTGCAAAACCGACCGGTTTTAACAAAACAACAGATAAAAACTTTATTATTTGTTATTTTTTTATAAATAATCGCCAAGTTATTGATTATGCCTTGTAATAATATCAAGTAAAAATAGTTTTTCATTTAAAAATACTCCAATGTTTTGTGTATAAACTATTGACAATTATTTATTTTTTAGTAAAATTTCAATTCATTTTATTTTTAAAGTGGTTAAATTAATAACACTTTTGTATTTTTTTATAAAGTCTGTTTTCTATTTAACGATATTGGGTTTTTACTATTATTTATAATAACAGTATTATAATTTATAAAAATAAAGTAATTTTTCTAAAAAATGGTTTGTATTTTTTTTGTTCTTTTTTGAAAAAGTGTGCTAAAAATAACAAAAAACAAAATTGCTTGACAACTAAAAAAATAATAATGTCAAAACGAGAATAGGTTGGTCTTGA